ACCTTAGATTTATAAGCAGTGTTATGTGTACTTCCTGATGGATTCTTCTGAAGATGGTGGAATTATTTAGTTTCGTTTAACTTACATATTTTTTATTTTTATCTTTACAAACAAATGACTGTGCAAGTCAGAGTGCCAGTCTCTTCAGCAATTAGAAACCACAGAAGAAAGTAAACCCCGATTAATTGTAAACATGCATTTCTCTCTAATTCGTTTAGATCCTCACAGTTGATGGATAGTGGGACCACATCCCACATCTTTATTTATAAGTATAACTTATCAATATATATATATATATATGTAACAGTACTTGTTTCATTTAGAAATGTATTCAAAAACCATACTTACATCAGATGATTTGTCCATGGTTATCGCTAGTAGAACTATAAGATACAGTATTCTTATGGATTTTAATTCAAAGTGACAACCATTCATATATGGATGAGCAACATAGATTTGACTGTGCATTACAAAATAGACTTGGACAACTAGGAAGTGACCATTGTCATGTTGATCAACGATCTTTTGTATGCAGTATTTTGTCTGAATATATAATAATACTAATTAAAAACATTATAATATGAGATATTTAAAATAAGAATGAGACATTAATGTATAATGAAATCTCGTACATTTCACATATTTAAGTAGATATTAAAAGTAGAATTGAACCGAATTTTTATTATATAATTTGTTGTATTGTATAATGAAATATCATATATTTTACATGTTTAAGTAGACATTAAAATTAGAATTTAGTCAATCCTTCATTTTGAAAAATTATTCAAAGCCAACTGAAACTGTTTGAACTTCTGACCATTTGTCGGACACAGTATTGAGTAGAACATATGCGATAATTCTACATCAACTGAAATGTCCTGTCCAATATTGAGAATATACATTTAGTGTTTTGTATCACTGTGTAAGTCAAAGAACCATGTTTACTGACTTTAAAATTTCAGTCACATAACAAAAACTCTAGTTATAAATTACTCTAGCTAAAGTATGGTGAACATTAAATTTATGTAGAGAATATATGATTATGTAGAGAGTTTGAACCGTTGATTTTCAAAATTAAATATAATATAAATACGTAGATAGCGACAATGTATTATAGTCGTTTATATATGGACGAACGACACAAATTTAACTGTATATTGCAAATATACTTGGCCAACTCGGAAGTGACCTCTGGTCATTAGTCACATGTTGGTCAACGACCTTTCTCTCCTTTCTATATCTTCTTTTTCTCTGTCTACCATTCCCATGTGACTACACGACACATGCATTCAACTGTGTATTTCGTACTTAATACTGTGGTTTTTAACACGTATATGTGATGTCAGCTGCATCTCTAATGTAGAAGAAAGTTTATGAAAAAAAATTTAAGTGTTGTTAGTCTATATTAGTGATTAATCACATTTATTATGTAGCAAAATGATTTAATACAGAACTTGTTAACTAAATGTTAAAATTAAAGTTAGTGAAACATTCGTTAGATGTGTATAGAATGTTTGCAGCTCATGTGTTTTGAAGTTCGATAGACTGACTGGCTTAGGCTGAACATTTCACAATGAGTCAGAGTGAAATGTCTCTATGGTGTTAATGAACCACAGATGGAAATGAAAATAATGTCTATATACTGCATACTGTCCTACAGAAGTATAGAAACACTTAATAAAACGTTTGTTTGTTTGTTTTGGAATTGCGCGCAAAGCTACACGAGCTAGCCGTCCCTAATTTAGCAGTGTAAGACTAGAGGGAAGGCAACTAGTCATCACCACCCACCGCCAACTCTTGGGCTACTCTTTTACCAACGAATAGCGGGATTGACCGTCACATTATAACGCCCCCACGGCTGAAAGGGCGAGCATGTTTGGTGGGATGCGGATTCGAACCCGCGCCCCTCAGATTGTGAGTCGAGCGCCTTATCCACCTGTCCATGCCGGGCTTATAAAACGTACGCAATTAAATATACTTTGGAATCGGTATACAATTCTTAGTAACATTGCCCACCTTTGTAAAATACATGTAATACAAATAAATATATATATGTATAATTGTAAACAAAAAACATAATTTGTGACTTCAGTCAACTAATGGATAACATCAGATTTGTTTATAGAACTAATGAATTAGTGTTAAGCGTCCTTTTTAGGACGATTTACATGTAAATGATCAGGAAGTACGATTAAATATAGAACTAATGAATTAGTATTTTATACCAACTGTATTAAATCTAGCCATGTTGATACACTTTTTGTAGCCCTAGCAACACATTCTCTGGTTCCACTTATTGAAACTATGTCGTCATGTCCGCCTGTCATGGCGTTCATGCAACGCACACTTTCTGGTGACATCATTGCATCACCTCAGCGCCCTCTGTTTCCAATTCGTGGAATTATGACGTAATCGTCCCTGATGACATCATTTTCTCTACCCTTTTTCTCCCTCCCATAAGATTGACACACGCTTAGCGGCCACTAGCGGCGTGTCGCGCATGTTAGGGGATAACTACTAACATACACAAGTTATAGTGTTATTTATCGCTTTACCGAATATAGGCTTGTTTGTTTGTTTGAAGTTAAGCACAAAGCTACACAATGGGCTATCTGTGCTCTGCCCACCACGAGTATCGAAACCCATTTTCTAGCATTGTAATTCCGCAGACATACCGTTGTACCACGGAGGGGGGGGGGGGGCTCGAATATAAGCCGTACTTATATACTGTTGCAATAAAGATACTAATTTGACAGCAAATCATTTGTGGGTCTCTGCTGGTTATTTAAAAATGCATTCATTATTTGATGGTATGCTTATGCTGTAGTTCAGAAACTTTTTCACATGTCTACGTAAATTCACTGTTTTACATTGGTTTGGCGTCTATAAAAGATATATAATTGATCTTTAGAAGTGGTTTTACAAGTAACTAATGCTAGGCCCAAGACAAGTGGACTTGTTGATTTCGATGTCTGCCATTAGAATTATTTTGTATTATTCTAAAATTCTGTATTTAAAGAAGTACTTTTGTAATAAAGATACTAATTTAACCGCAAATGTTTTGCGGTTCTGTGCTACATCTAGTATATTCTAAAAGCCACTTTCAAAGTCTGCAACATCCACCCAGCAGTGGAAATTATAGAAACCCAAGTCTCTTTGGTGACAAATTTTTGGTTTTCGCAAAATAAATAAAAATTGAATGAATAAACAAATTCATAGAACCATAAGAATGCAATCTCAAATAAAATTTTAAATGGTACATCTTGGCGGGATTCGGGGGACCAGCCGACCCTGACGGCTTCCCTCTTTTTAAATACAAAATACAGAAATATTTGAATCAACATTGAAACTTACAGTTCTTGCATTGGCTCCGTGTCACGATAATTTTACTGACTGGAAGCTTTCAACATGTTTATTGAGTCTGGGATATAACATTAGTTATCATAGCATTATGGAATAAGAATCTTGAATGTCCATTTTCTCAGAAGAGCTAGATTCCCAAAGCCAATCCTGATGCGTAAATGTGCAGGATCCGCAGCTAACACTGTACATGCATACAAGAAATTAATATCCGGGAAGTGGTGATAAACATAATATATCCATTAATGAGAAATTGTAACCTTTTAGGTCATATCCCGAAATGTTTTTGTTAAAAAAAATTCAGAAATTTAACCAAATAATCAATTTAGCATTTTAACTGTTAAAAAGGCTTACAATCTTAGGACTATCTTGGCTTCGGAGTAATGGGCCCTGGGAATAACGGACCGTTACTGTCTCGTCAATGTCAAAAATTCTATGAAGTAGAGCGCACACTATCTTATGAAGAAAATAGACGCTTCTTATCAACTCCACCAATCACCATGCAAACATGCTCAAATTACAACAAAATCTATATTTTTAGGATCGAACAGATCAGCCAGCTTAAACCCATGATGTATAAATATGTCTTGTCTTTATGGGTCACGATAGACTTACATTAAAGTAAATAATGCTCTATGCTGTAATAATTCATGTATTAGAGTATGCAGGATCTACAGTAACTGATGGCTATCCCATTATCCAATACCAAGGCTTTAAGCACTCATTACTAAAATATAAAACGATTTATGTTCTTACAGCTATGTATTTTCACAGCTGTGTAATGAAAACAATGCTGCCCATGTGATATTTCTCCCATATTCAAATTTCCTTAGATTTTCTTTCAGGTCAGTACTGGAGATGTACGAAATCATTTTATTAAGGTCGATTATACCCAATTAAATCGGTCAGTAATGATCAGTCATTTTTCAATGCATTTAGAATATTGCAGTTTTTAATATTTTCAGTTACACGCTAACACATAAGATGCATATGTGTGTATGCACGTATTCAAAATGGTCGCGATGTATGTATTGACTCCATCAGCTTCGAACAAAAATCCTTAACCCGAATATTTAACATGGCAAATGTAACTAAACACTTTGGAAAATTGTATCTTTTACATTTTGCTATCTGAAAATGCATTCAATGCTGCATATAAACTTGGTTTACGTATTCTACCCACATTGTAAAAAAATAAATCAAAACACCTTTATTTGTTGAGCAAAGTGTATACAAATGCTTTAGTTTAGGCATAATAATAGGCTGATTTTAATTATGGAAAACAAATGTGTAATGAACATGGAACGTGCAGGAAGCTTTCTTTTATACCCAAAAGATAAAACGGCGTTAGTCTCTTCCAATTCGACCCCCAGTGGCACAGCAGTATGTCTGCGGACTTACAACACTAGAAACCGTGTTTCGATACATGTGGCGGTCAGAGCACAGATAGCCCGTTGTGTAGCCTTGTGTTTAATTTCAACCAAACTCTCCCAGTTATATAATGTAAAACCTCGAATGTCTTTTCCTTACTATTTATTTATTTTACTTTTGTATTTGACCAGATATACAGTTTTTGAACTAAACTATAATTTGTTATAAATTTAATTGGAATCTGTAAATCGTCAATACTTCTGCTGCGAAATAGCCAAATATTTATCCGTATAATACAAGTAATTTTGCAATTAATTAAACGTATTATTAGATCTGACCAATCAGAAACTGAGAATAAAAAAAGAAAGTAAGAGTTTGGCTTCTGAGACTACAGCGCTTCAAAAACCAAAGGGGAGGCAGGAAGTGAAGACCTAACCTTGTTTATCAAAGTTTTTCCAGCACAGAGTGCGTAACTGCAAATCAGGAAGCCTTGTCTGTACTGAACTTATACCTTTACATTATTTAAACAAGAAGGACTGTATTAACAAGAGAAACCTAACGGTAAGCAGAAACCTATCATTCTTATGCTAATTGCAAACTTCGATATTTTCCTTCGGATGAACTAAAAGACTGCATTTTCAATGTATAAGCTACTAATATAAAACGTTGTTCAAGAAATAAGTATGAAACGTAGACGATAGTTTAGTTTAGGAGAAGACTTAAAAATTGAGAAACATTAACTGCGATGATAAGAAACACCAAAACAAGATATTATCTAGAATTTTTGTGTTTTAATATTAGCTTTGATGTCAAAATTTAAACTGTTATTTTGATGATTTAATTTTCAGTACAATGGTTGAATTTTTAAATTCTAAGTAAAGAACGTACTTGTTTTGGTTGACAGTGTTTTATGAAAATATGTAAACTTAAAGTCATTGTTGATTAATTATGTAATATAAAAACTAACGATGTTATTTATCATTAAAAATATTAAATATTGAAATAATGAAATTTACTGAATTACTAAGCCAATAATTTCGCGAATAAAAACAGGTTCGAGATACAAGAACAAACTGGATTTACTCATGCCTAAGGATGTTCTTGTAGTCGAAATTAGAAGGAATTAACAGTTGCAACTCGTAAAAAGTAAGGGGGGATAAAATTTTGGTAATTAGAACAAAAACCAAAGTTTCAGTTCAACGACAAGGATTAATACACATATCTCTGACAGTGATACTCGGGCTTAAAATAAGAAATATACTGCCCTGTAGGTTTGAGGGATATAACGCTATAATATGAAGTTTGATTCTTGCTATTGGTACAGCCCAGATAGGACATTTGTAGCTTTGTGTTGAAAACCAAGAACACTAAAGTGCAATTAATCAAACATTAAGATTCGCCATATTTATCAAATACTAAAGTTTAATCAAAACTGTCGATTGAGGCAGTGATCTTTTATCAAGTATTGAATCCCTGAACATTTTATAGATTGCCAATGAATATATATTGTAAATGGTATCTCACTGAAAGTTTGAAATAAACATTTTCAAGTTGGTGAAAAGTACAGAAATGCGTATATGAATGCAACAAAGTGTTGCTAAATCTTAGATAACATTGCTTGGCAGCATACTACAGTGTCGCTCTTCCGTTTATATTATTTTGTAGAAACTCGTTAATACCGAGAAACAACTACAAGCTTAAGATTATTCTTAATTTTTGGTTTACCAAGCTGAAAAAGTGAAGCTTAATTTAAGTTTTTCAAAGTTATTTTTCTACTTTGTCTTTGTGATGTTTACTTTTATTGCAACTATGTTATTATATTTACGTCATATTACAATTTGTGACTAAAGCTTACAAGTTACAGGATGTTTCGTTCCTTAGTGTAGCACTTTAAAGTTTAAGATGGACATAATCTAAAAAGCAACAGAGAAACAGTTGGAACCGTTGCAGTCGCTTTTTGTTATAATATAGCATATTTTTCATGATTTTGCCGACAGATTATGGATATTTTTATATACTTAGTAAGAAGTATAAAACACATAATTACCTTTATAAATTATTAGTGGATGCAAAATTGCCAAACTATGCTTATTATAACACAAAGTGACTAGATTGGTTCCAGCTGCTTCTATATTGCTTTATATTTATAATGTTATTCATAACTCCTTTTTTCCTTGTAGAATAGCGCCATCTTGTTTGTCAAACAACATAATGGTGTTGTGTGTTTCGAATGTACAAATAACTTTGAACTTCATTCCCACAAGTCATTTTGTGTAAATTTTGTAAATACAGAGTATTGAAATACTGGTACAACTACAAGTTGTTTTCAAATGTTTTTTCAAGATGTCTGTTATATGAGAGTCATGTGTCAGATAATGTAATATCCAGTATTGAGGTTCAACTGTTTCAGACCCATTGATTCGTTGCGAAAACGTGGCCAACTTGGATGCGTAAATTTATATTTGTGTTAGAGTTATTTTGTTGCATTCATTTTAATATTTTTTATCCAAAAATTAAAGGAGGAGGTTTTTGCAATGGACCGTTGCACAAATCTGAACAGCGCATGTGTAGGCTTGTATCAGCCCTACTAGTACTAATGGAGCTGATCTTGAATGTGATATTCACTAGTGGTAGTAGGTATTAGTGATAGCCACTGTTAGGCTTGTATCACTTTAGCAATTTTACTGTTTAAATGTGCAAATAACCTTTAGAAGAATTCTTACTAACGAAATGGATGTTGTACAAATACTCTAACTTCGTAGCTGAAATGTTTTTTTGCAAAATTAGAAACTACAGGACATTTCCCTTAGCGACCATAAATCTTGATTTCCAGCTGCCACCATAAGAAAACTATAGCCGTGTGTGTGTGTGTATCTTTTCTTTAAATGCTAGTCGGTGTCTAATGCTGGTTTTTCTTAACATGTATTAAACTTTTTTGTAGAATTAAATATTCATGCTGCTGTTTGGTCACAGTTCCCAATATTTCGGATATCTCGTACGTATGAAAAGATCATTGGATAAGGTTTAAGTCTTATCGTTTAACTACACGTTTGTAGCGTTATTTATAAATTAATAATGTATATTTACTTACATTTTACTTGTTATGGGTGTAAGTTAGGCTATTTTTTTAGGTGTTTATAAGTTCATATCTCGATGCATGTCCGCATTAAGAGGGGAAAGGTGCAAAATTAATCATAAACTGGATGTCTCGTTGAAAAACATATGTTTGCAATTGTGTCACTATGACAACAGTGATTTTAATCGTTTCGTATAAACCAGTTATTTTGTAATTTTTCATTAACATGTTCTTACAGCTTGTTCTTTCATAAATATTTGCTCGGCCATTTAACAGAAAAAAACCACTGTAATTACTATATAGTTATCATAAATATGAATATTAGTATTTACTCATCACTTGTTTGTGTTTTGCTCAAACTGTAGTTAATAAATATTATTGAACTGTATTTGGTATATGTACGAAGTTCAGTTCTGAGGGCTCCCTTAATAAAATTAGTGCCGGACCTACCTCCTTCCGCCAAGTACTTAATCCGACTCTGCCTAGTTAAGACCTCCTGGTGAGTTAATTTCAGTCCTACAAGGGTTGTATAGTTGCGGATTTACCTGATGTTTAAGTACACATATTAACATATGTCACAAGGATCGACTAAACGCTTACAAGTTACACTAATATAAATGTGAAAGTAAAAGTAGTTAAAACTTCACTCTGATGTACGATGTTGATTTTTTTTAACAGAAAAGTAATTTCCAAGTACTCAAATAGACTGTTTGTTTGTTGTTTTTAAGTGCGGAGAGAATTCAACACTACGGATTTCAACACTCCCTCTGTTGTAATTCTTTACTGTACAAGACACCTCTATTATACTTTGCTAAGATGTAAAAAAAGAAATAGAGCGATAAATATCTCATTGAGGTATTTTTTATGATTTGGAAACTGTCCAAATTTGTTGCCCGAGTTCAACCACCCTCTCTCACCGACACCCATCATGACTAATATTTTAAATGCCTTTTCCTCCCTAATTTCAGACAAAGGAAGGCCAACAAAACTGGAATTTACTTGTCAGCATATATTAAACAGAATAGATTTACGTGGGTAACCTTTTCTGTATTCCGTCTCCCAAGCTCCCAGTATCTTTTTATTTCTTCGCATCTCACATTTAAAAAAACTGGAATTCGATTTGCAAATAGATATTGTACATAATGCAAGTTATCCAAAAATAGGATTCCAACAAGAGATTGTAGGATTCTACACATCATGTGAGCGTGTGAACAACTATTCTTACCCTGTTTTAAAGGTCAAACCAAATTCAAAAGTGTTAAAACCTTTGAAAGGAGAGTCTTGAGCTTCGATATAAATAACATACATATAGTTTCAAGCTTAATTTCTTTTAGCTTCTTTGAATATCCTAAGATTTTATTCTTATAGTCACATTAGAACATTTGGTAACTGAGTTGGACGAAATTCGGTTATCTTTTATTGGCCTGGTGGTTAGAGCGCTCGACTCGAAATCTGTGAGTTGCGGGATCGAAACCTGTCCCTGAACATGCTCTACCTTTTAGTTGTAGGGAAATTGTAATGTGATGGTCAATTGCATTATTCGATTAGAGTAGCCCAAAATTTGGCGGTGGGTAGTGTTGATTAGCTGCCTTCCCTCTAATCCATAATTTCTAAATTAAAAACGGCTAGTGCAGAAGTGTGGTGATTTATAACACTAAAAACTGGATTTTTATACCTGTGGTTGGCAGAGCAAAAATAAAGCAAACAGTTGTCAAGAGGCCTTACGCGAGATTCAACAAACAAACACAAGCTTTTAGCTGCATTAATGAACAGATATCTGTTATTTACGTTATTGTCACAGGATTAAAGACATTTTTTATATCCCCCCCTTTCACTTAGTTACTTTAATTAAACAGTCATCTAGATGAGATTGTGCTTACCCATTTCTTTTAGTAAAATTAACAATTCATTAAACTTTTCGATTACACCTTTTCACATTTAATCCCATTGGTAGGTTAATCTTGGTTACATATATTTCGGTGATACTTTTACATCTCATTTTAATAAAATTAAAAAGTTATTTAGCTGGATTATAACCTCTTTTGAATTAAATTGATTTCAGTAATATCATTTATGTTTTACTAGTCAAATTTACCTTGCATTCCCGGGACAAAAAATTGTTGCATAGTCAATGAGCTATCAGTCTTCCATTTGAAATCTTTAGTTCTTTTATTCTTTTAGAAAACTTCATGAAAATCAACAGGCATATCACAGCTTAGACATAAAAAAACAACAATTTTATTCTTTTAAGTACAAAGGAAAAATTATCAGTTGCTCAGTACCTCACGGTAAATAACATTTAATGTTTTGCCTTGCGGTGCAAGAAGGTACAGGTTGCTTGGGTTACCAACTCTAGAACATCCAACATACAACTGTCCATGAGAGAAACATGGTGATAACAGGTACAAGGCAACCACTTTTAGTGACTGTCCTTGAGCCTTGTTAATAGACATGGCAAAACTTAAATGGACTGGAAACTACTAGC